AGAAGGGAAAGGTGTGGTTGCAGGATATTTTAACTCATAGGCTTCTCACCGTGCATACAGCAGCATACACACTTGATTGTTCTGTGTACTCTCCTGGGGCTCTAGATGCCTTTTATTTTTTAGCAGGTAGTCATTGGCATAAATCCCGAGAAGGCAGCATGTGTAGGGTTGACTGTCCCCGATCTTCCTAGCCAGGCTGAGCCTGTGGATGAGCAACTCTGAGGCAATGAACAAGGCAGAGCCTGTGGATGAACATGTACTAAGGTGATTGAGTATTGTGTTGTATGGTACCCTTCAGGAGATGACAAAGTGAAATGGTGCATTCTTCCAACATAGGCTTTACTTGAGACTGTATTGAAAACATGCTAAGCTTTTATTCAATCACTGCAGAACAGTATTAACTGTTTCTCAGCTGCACCTTTTCTCATGTTAAGTCTCTATACTCTGCGTAAAACTTGATGTCATAGAATCACAGAACTGTTTGGGTTGGAAGGGACCTTAAAGATCATCTAGTTCCAACCCCGCTGCCATGGGCAGGGACACCTTCCGCTAGACCAGGTCGCTCAAAGCCACATCCAACCTGGCCTTGAATACTTCCAAGGATGGGGCATCAACAGCTTCTCTCGGCAACCTGTTTCAGTGCCTCACCACCCACTGTCTGGCCAGTGGAGTGGGCATACCTGAATGCCTGTTGAAAAGGAGGAACCAGGTAGAGCCAGTCCATGCCAAATGCTTGACACCACAGCTTCTGTGGGGTTCACGCTATTGCGGTATGGCCTGTAAAGGCTGGGGAATCAAAACCAGAGTCTTTGCGGATCCCTTGATATCAATGGGAACAATGTTTGCAGAATGTGTCCTAATGCAGTTGTGATTCATGAGGAGAAGGCTGGTCAGGGTGCTGATGAGTGGAGGTTATCATGACTGTTGGTGGAGTATGCTCAAGTACTGGATGTATTGAATTCCCCTGTTCCAGAGGCTTCTAATGTTTGACACTTGCAGAAACATTAAATCCACTTTTACTTAAGCAAAAACCATCTTTTATAACTGACATCACTTCTATGTTGTAGCAGATGTACTGGTCATTAAGGAGCTTATCTGTAACCATTAACTTAGTGTCCTGGTTTCGGCTGGGATAGAGTTAATTTTCTTCCTAGCAGCAGGCATAGTGCTGTGTTTTGGATTTAGGATGAGAAGAATGTTGATAACACGCTGATGTTTTTAGTTGTTGCTGAGTACTGCTTATGCTAGTCAAGGACTTTTTCAGCTTCCCATGCTCTGCCACGTGCACAAGAAACTGGGAGGGGGCACAGTGAGAATAGTTGATCCAAACTGACCAAAGGGCTATTCCATACCATATGACGTCATGCTCAGTATAGAAACTGGGGGGGGGTGGCCAGGGAGCAGCGATCGCTGCTCGGGAACTGTCTGGGTATCAGTCGGCGGGTGGTGAGCAATTGCATTGTGCATCACTTGCTTCGTGTATCATTATTATCATTATCATTATTATACTGTTACTATTAGCATTACTATTTTACTTTATTTCAATTATTAAACTGTTCTTATCTCAGCCCAGGAGTGTTTCTCACTCTTACTCTTCTGATTCTCTCCCCCATCCCATCGGGGTAGGGGGAGTGAGCGAGCCGCTGCGTGGTGCTTAGTTGCTGGCTGGGGCTAAACCATGACACTTAGTAAATGAAGTCAGCTAGCTCTGTTGGGGGGAGGTGTTACATATGGGCTTCTTGTTTAGGACTTCATTATAGTCATTTAATGCAGCTGTTGTGCGAGATGGGCAGCCTAGAGGGCTGCATCTCTTGGAATAAAGGCTTCTTGCATTGTTTAAGAGGTCAAACATGCATTCCTTTGAATTTCAGAAGGCCAAGAAAACTTCTTGCTTTTTGTTTTTTATAGACAGTGTTAGATACATCAAAAGGATTAAAAAAAACTATGCCTTTCCTGCAGTATTTCATCTTTCTGTTCATCGCAGGTAGCAAATGCAGTGAAATCAGCACAAACCCAGATGTTCTCTGACTCCTTCTTTGAAATGTCCACTGCTGCAGAGAAACTTTGTGAACATGCTGGATGCAGAGGCTAACAGTGATGCCTTCAGGGGAGGAGAGGAAACGCAGGCATCTGAGACAGACTTCCTGAATTCTGAAGCTTATTCTTTCAAAAGATACCCTCTCACTAATCTGCAGATGTGCTGCATTGCATTATGGCTAGTTGTGGTATGCATGAATGAGAGCTCTTGTTTTGGGGCTGCCTGTGTTGAGAAACGGGGGAAGGGGAGAATCTTGCATTTGCAGTTGTAATTCTTTACGGCAGTAGAGGCTGATTCCCCATGTGTGGTGGAAAGCATTGGGCTCTGCAGACAGCAGTGTTAACATATCATCCTGAGGCAATGGCATGTCTTTGTGCTCTTTACATAAAGCCTGAAACACAGTCTCCTGAGAAGTAAGTCAGGGATGTGAAGAAATGTCTTTAATCTGTTGTCAGGACCTGGCCACTTTTGGGATCATGGTGCATCTTCTAAGTCTAAGCGCTAAATGGGGGGGAAATATAGGTTCAGATATCTGTGCTTGACAGTATAAGAAGAAATCATGAGCGATGGGAAGTCTAGATCTAAGGCCTCACTATTATATTCATCCCCTTAATAGACTAGGAAGAGAAACAGTGACAGTTACTAAAGAAAATACGAAGGAGCTTCTGCCCTAGCTGACAGGTGAATACAGGCCACTGCCTGAGTCTGCTTCCAAATATGGGACTGTCCACACTTAACACGTTTGGTTTCCTTCGGTCCCAAAATATCTCTTCCAGGTAGTTGTGCCCTTTTATTTGGCTTTTTATTTGTTATTTCTATTTCACATTTCCAGGAGAAAGAGACATTAATATCCACTGCTTCATAAAAGCCATGGATAGTTCTTTCCTCACTGGGTCTCTGCCAGTAGCCTGGCCTCACCATTGACAACTTATTCAGAGCTTCCTCCACACACGAGCTACTGAGGCATGACAAGTGGATTCTTGCTCTGTGCATGTGTAGCATGTCTGGAAGGACATCTGGAATCCTTTCTCAGGCCCTCATCACCCGCCAGAGCTATGGCAAGACATTGTGGTGCTCGAGGTACCCGTAAAAAGGGGCTGGAAGTGACAAGAGCAGAAGGTGCCCGGCATCAGCACAGAGGTACAGCACTTCACTGCTGTGCCTGAGACATTCAGTTTGTTTGTCCTTGTTTACTGCAGTCCTGGTGCCTTGCTTGTACACCTGCCATTCACTTGGTACTTACTGGTGCAACTCCAGCAGGCACATGACCCCTCTCACTAGGTAGTGCTTTCACTGGAAGGCCTTGCCGTATTTGAAGCATTGCTCATAGTGGGATGCATTTCTTTCCTGTTGCAGAGAACCTCCATCCATGAATTGCTTACAGCTTTGGAAGGCAGGCTTGCATTTATGCTCTCCTTAATACCCACGGTGCAGTTAGTGTTCCCACAATAGGGTCCTGGGCCTGAGGCACCGGCCGAGTAAACGTGCGGACAAAGCAGTGCCAAGGTGGCAGGGAGCAGAGAAGTTAATGTCACATTGCTTGAAGTATGAGTCTTTTGCAGGTGTCTCTTTTCTGCCAGTAGCCAATACAGTACCTCTTTGCTTATTTGTTCTCTTGTTACAAAATATGCTGATGGTAGGAGGACCAGAATATGGCTTTTCACAGCCTTAGTATCTCTGTTGCATGAAATGACTGACTAACTATATTGTATTGCCTTGTCTTGCATTATATATGGGCCAGTAGTGATAGCAAAGAAAGGCACTACTGAATTTAGCCAAGTTGAATTACGAACACTTCAGAACACAGATGGATACTTAAGAGGGTCACGGGCTTAATAACATAGGCTTTCCAGGCTGCTGCTTATTGTCTGCTGCTTTCCATTTGGCTTTTATTAAGGGATCAAAGAGGTTTGGAAGGAAGATGATGCTTAAAGTTTGAAAGCTGATGCATTTAGAAAGAGCCTTATTTTCAACTACAGTGCCCAGCTTTCAGAAATGCATATTTTCTGGTGAGTGAGATCTCAGGGGCACATGAAGTGAGGGGTGATTTTTCCCACTGCATAGCTGACCTCTCCCCAGAGCGTAACCGGTCCTGGCAATCCCAGATGAACTCTATTGCACCCGAGCTTTAGGTGAAGGAGAAAGCTCCCTGTGGAAATGCTTGCTATGGGCAGTGTTACTGTTCTGCCCCTGGGCACTGCACTCCTTCAGTACTTGCTCCCCAGTTGGAACAGTAATACAAGGACTCCAGGAATCAATGTTGTCCTCAGCTCTGAACTAAAAAGCGACTGGCATGTTACGCTTAAAATAAGCTGAACATGAAAAATTGTGTAACTTTGTCTTGAGTTTTTAAGGAAGGCATTATTTATGCTGACTGCCTTGAGGAAGAACATTAGTCTTGTGGCTTCTAGTCTAGACAGGGAGGTAGAGAAACCTGGCTTCAGTTCCTGGGTCTTCCACAGTCTGGCAGAGAACTGTAGCACAGAGACTGGAAGACTTATCTCTACAAATGGAACGAGTCTTAATTATTTTGTTCTCTAATTGAACACTGTGTGTTATTCAATTAGATAGGTTTTTTTGTTTGTTTTTTTTTGTTTTTGTTTTTTTAATCTAATGAAAACAAGGCCATTAGAGATTGCCATGCTATGATTGTGGTAGTTGAAGGATGGTTGAGGCATGTGCCCAGTGGTACACCTAAGCAAAGCTTAGAAGCATGTGTTGAGCCATTTCCAGCAGAGATGCATGTAACTGAGTATATTTTTATAAGATTCCTTGTTATTTGATTTTGTTGCTTGATTATATGACTTTGGATTTCTATTAGAACAGATATTATACTTTCTTTAGTGAAGACAAATTTGCAGAATGAAAACAGGGTGGAAAAAAAAGCAGTGGTGCACTTCTACCTTTGTGCGATCATTAGGTGGTTGTGGACTCCTTTCTAACTGATTGTTTCCTCTTCTAGGATGAGAGAAATCATGAAGAAAGCATCTCTCCCACAAGACGATCCCAACACCCCGCTGTCAGTTACCTTGGCTATAGTTGAGTCAGATTCCACAGTAGTCTATTATAAAATGACTGATGGCTTTGTAATACCAGATCCTCCCGACGATACTGAAGATGTGGACAATAAACAGTGGAGAAAGAAAAGAAAGAAGCTTTTCAAATGATTAAGACAAACAGACTTTTCTTGAACTACTGTCCTCAAACCTAAACAAATCCAGGAACTTACGTATGTAAATAAGTAGTGTGCTAAAGTCTGCCTTCTGCATTTCAAGCATCTGTTCAGGGAGAATGGAGGCTTGTGCAGCTGCACTGTGATGAAATGCCATTAAAGTATGGGTCACGCTTTTGAGACAGACTGCTCCTGACTAATAAATATACTTGTGTGATGTTTCCAAAGCTAGTCTCTCCTTTATATCTGTTCAGGTACATAACAGAATAAACACATGTAAATGTTCATTAAAGGTGATTCTTAAGGATTTCTGGCAGGACTACTGATACGAAGTTAAGGGCTTTGTAGTTTACAGATTGTCTTTGTTTTAACACTGTCAGAAGCACTCATGTTACCTCCCAGGTTACATTTCCGAATGCTTACCTCCTTTCCCGTACTTTTGGAGAAGACTTTTCCACAGAAGTACCTTATTTTAAATTTTTTTCTGCAGAGGGAAAACTGATTATAGCAATATCAGAGTCTACTAGAGCAAAGTGTAGACTAGTAAAGGGTAGTCTCTGGATCTGCCTGAAGAACCTACAAGTGGAGGTCAGCCCTTCACGTGGAGGTAGGTTATGACTGGATCAACCACACCTGAAAGTGTTGACCCAGGGTAGCGTTACCCACGTAGCTGAAAGCACGCTGTGCTAAAGGTCACGATCCAGAAACACCACCAGACTCTTGTTCCACATACAGCGTTGGACGACTGTCTAAGAACCAAAGGTACCTTGTGTTCACATCCCAGTGCGATGAAGTTGTCTAAATGGTGACCTGCCCTCTCCTTGTGTTTCCTGTCTTGAAATTAGTACTTCACTGTGATGTTAGTCTTAAAGCTCTCTGAAGAGGAGCATGACAATGGGGCATGTTTTTATCTGTTGCCAAAGTATGGCACCTTCTATGCTATGAGTGGACACTAGCTGTTACCTGCTTCGTTCAGCAAGCAGATTTCTAAACCCACTGTAATTTCTGTGGTGAGAGTTTTGGCAGCTAATACCAGCTCAGAAAGGTTTGCTTCTGGCAGTTTTTGTTTTCAGCTATTAACCTGATCCTGCATAGGCTGAATTTGCATTGGTTACAACTGTATGGATGTGTACCCTGATTTGTTAGGGTAATTGGACAAGCCATACGTGAGGCTGTGCATGTTCTGATGCAGTCAGAAACAAAACAGTTGCTTTTTTCCTGTACAGCAAGGGGAGACTGTGGGTCTGTGGGCTTTGATGATGGAGAAAGGCAAAGAAAAATTCTCTCTTTCTCAGTCTTGCTCCCCTCATGGAGGAAAAACGTAATTTTATTTTGGTCCGATGCCATGCTGCCTTAAAAGGGTAGCTGTGTGCTGACTTCTGACATGCTGTGTTTGACCTTAACATTGATATTTGGTGTACTCTACTGCTTATTCCATAAAGTAAATCTTAACACTTTGCTAGGCTACATACCACCAGGTAAATTGTCCTTGTTAGAAGCTGTTAAATACTTCAGCCCCAGTGTGAGTATGTGCTGGAAAAGAGCTGGTTTTGTGTGAAGAAGGCCGTTAACAAATGGTACACTTCGCAGAATTTATATTTAAGTGACACACGCTTAACCCCAAAAGCAAATTCTTTCGCATTTGCTTCAATTTCTGGGAAATACTACCATTTTGCAGTTTCCTTCATGACTGATGCTTGGCTTTCCTCCTTCACTTTATTATTTCTAGGCACAGAAAGAGGAGTATAACTTCAGCCACCTCTTCCGTACACTGAAAACTGCTTACCCAGTCTTCAGAAGCTGAGTTGGAGAAACCGTGTCCGGAGGCTTTGATTTCTGCCGTGTGTCCCACTGACAAATGATTATATAGGCCTTTTTCCAGCCTTCTTAGATTGTGGTGGTTCTTTATTTCTCAGGAAAAAAAATAGAACAGTAAATAATATCACTGCAGTGTTTGTCCCATATGTATTACAACGTAAACAAGGGGAAGTTAAATGAGTTCAGAGCCAGCTGTGCTGTTCCTTTACATTCCACTGAAGTGTTTCTCTGTGTCAAGTCAACAGCACACAGACCAGAGCCTCTGGTGTTCCAGGCACTGAATAAAGATGGGAAGAGACTTCCCTTAGAAGTGTATCGGTTCAGAGCAGTAGTGCATTAACATTCCTAAATCCATAATATCTTGGTGCTGTGCCTAAAATATTCAAACATTCCTCTGCTTTCAATGTTTGTGAGACATCTGTGGAAGCATGAGCCGTGACATCTGGCCTCGACACCGTTGCAAATTCATCTCTTATTTCAGTCCAGAAGATTTTACAGGCTACATTTTGCCATCTTTAAGTTTTTTCCAAGTTTTACTTGCCAAGCACAGCTTGATTTGTTTTACTGATCACCCTTGACCAACAGAAGGTATGTTTTAAAATCTTAAGAGTATCATTTTCTAGTAGATTATTGTTTCAAGTCTTTTGTCTCTTCAGAGAGATATTTGCATGGAAGCTTCCCCACCGAGTAAAGAATGATAGAAAAGCAAAGTGATGTTTTGGCATGGATTTGACGACAAGAGACAATGCCCGGTTACATAAGTGAGTGTCCGCTCTGTGTTATGCAAACTGCGTTTCCTTGAGGCATTATTACTGGCATCGTCACCCGAACTGTCCTGTATCCAACCTGACTCTTTGCAATGCACCCAGAACATTTTATGTTAAAAAGCACTGGTCAAGAAGCAGGAAGCCTTGTCAGATGCATGAAGAGCTGTGGTAGCAAGAAGTGGCTGAGAAACACGTGCTGCAACAGACAGCTGCCGAAAGTGAGTGACTACTGCAACTTTCCCATTCTCCACGCTGAGTAAGCAGAAGCACATGTGTATGTTTGGGTAGCAGGCTCCTCCCGTTGGAGTCACCTATGCCTTTGTGGCTATGCGTGTGCTGTGTGTAATCTCAGCGTGGAGCAGCCAGGCAAGTAAAGGACGCCAGAGCATCGGCTCATGATCTGTCCCTGCTTGCCAGGGCACGCCAGCGTGGCAGCGATGCGGTCCCTGGCAGTGCTGCCCAGCAAGCAGTGAGCAGATGAAGGTGTGCTGCTTCCAATCCACACCCTAAGCAGGATTGTGTTGCCTACAAAATGGTCCTCAGCATCTCCACAAAACAGTTCTGTTTTTCAGAAATCACTAGAAAGAAAGATGCAGCCACCTCTTGCCCCTTCTCAAGCCGGGCAAGGTTTTCCACAGGATCTTTTTCTTGCACACAACATTGAAATATCAATAATATTACTAAAGCCAAACAATCTTAATCTCTTTTCTGGGTCAGCAACCCAACAAAGCTTTTCTGTTTAATTTAAAACTGTTTTTACTAGTATTGCAGGTCCGTAGGAATTACATGTTTAATAGGTTGTCCCAGTAGTTTTCAGGAATCTAAACTCCATCAACTAGCCTGTAAGTCCTGCTTTATATAAATGGGCTTACTGTTAATCTCCTCTAGTCCTCCAGGGATGTTTCAGTCCTCCGTTATAACCCAATAGTTTAAAACTTCCTTAAGTCATTAGCCAAAGCAAATAAACTGAGATAAATTCAGGCCCTACTAACTGAACATTCTCAAACCAAATAGCCTTTCACCTCTACCTTCCTTATTCCTATTCTACTTCCAATTTAATTGTCTCATCAATTTTGTAAGGCTAAAGCAATAACGTTGAACTCTTCAGCCCTTTCAATCCCTTCAGTTAAGAGATGTGTGCTTTTCTTCATCTCCCTCCTGTTTTGCTTTTTCAATAGCTTTCTTACTGCCTTCTGTATCACTGCATCACACCTCAGCATGCCCCGATTTTGCAGGACTGGGAGGAATTTGGTGCATCCCTGGTGTGGATCCTGCCTCAGCACCCCCAGCTACAGCAGACACCCAGCAAGTGAAGCAACACCAGCCAGGATTGCAAAGAATTTCAGACTATATCAACCACCAGCAAATTGCCATGCTGGCAAGTAACCCCTATGCAGAAATGAAGATAATTATGAGCAACTAGGGTTTCCTAACTCTTCAAAAATAGCTGCAGCTGCACCTCATATTTCAGAGTATCCCAGGGAGTCAATTGCTTTTCCATTTTCTTTCCCTCATTTCTCAGATGATCCTTTGCCACTTTGGTGGCACCATGAGCTGGAGGAGCCCCAGACTCAGCCACTACCTTCAGCAAACCTGACTGACAGCCCATTTGCTGGGGTGAATTAATGACTGCTCCAACTCCTGATTAGCTATGTGCTGTGTGTTGTGTTCTCAGCACCTAACTGACATAATTTATTGCCCTGATGGTTTATCGTCTCATTAATCATTCTTTGCATCCCCACCTAGCTACAAGCTTCTGCCCATGTTTCTTGTCTGGCCACCAAGCGGGGTTTGCCAAACCTGAGTGGCTCTTCTCATCTTTTTCCTGTTTGTTGGGTTTTTTCCCCCCCGCCCCCCTTTATCACTGCTCTAGTCATCTTGCCAGTAATTTTTTTACTATGGTTCACTGCCCTCCTGGCCCGTGTTTTATATGTAGAACCCCATCCCTTAATTACCCTCAAATTTATCTCTTCATGCTATCTGGAAGCTCCCCTTTCTTTCCAACCTTCCTGCTACCACCCTGTCTTCTGCTGGGGTGCCTAGATGGTCTCCAAAGAACCGTCCATGCCTTTCTCTGTCCTAATCCAGGTACCAGCTGGGCATCTTGATTCTACCAGACCAATCCCATTTACCACCAAAAATCTTGGTACAAGCCGAAGCAAGGTCTCACGAGCGCTGTGCCGATGTCCAACCTGCAGAGGAGGCTCTCCCTCTTGGTGAGTGCTGTCTTCATGGTGCAGGGTGGCTGTCACCCCCCTTTCCACCATCTGAAACACCCAAATTAACACCCATCATGGATGTTTGCTGGATAAATCTGCAGGGCAGAGCTGGCTCAAGCCAGCTGGCTGCATTTGCACCAGAGGGCGCTTACAGACTGCTGAGCAGGAGCCTTCCTCTTCTGGGAAAGTCA